GTGTCAATTTGATTCGAAAATATTCTTTTATTATAATTATGTAAGCCTCGTTGCAATATTAATCCTTCTAAAATGTTACCAAATATCTATATTAAAACAAACTGCAAATTACTAACGACTAGTATTGCAAACGTCATTGCAATTATGACACTTCGTAACGTAGTAAATGTTATATTTTATATATTTTTTAATAGAAAAACATTCGAACTTTTCGACTCACAAATCGTGTAATTTGTTTTATTTAAATATTATCGTCATTCTAATCCAGTATATAATCGCTCTTATTATATAAAAAAAAACAATTGAAATGAACTATTCCTTAATATTGAAAATTGAACAAATAATTGTAATTTCTTCAAAAAAAAGGAAGTGTTGTGCTTTGATTTTTAATATGTTGCTTAATTATCATAGTAAGTAATCAATTGGTTTGGAATTTTCTATATAAATGTCAGAACGAAAAGCGAAAGTTTTCAAGTTTGAAGTTTTACGGCGTAAGTTTAGTTGTTTAAGCGAAATAATGGATATGCGTTTAGGAAGTGGAGGACCGTTTCACGGCTAATAAGGCTCTCTTGATACTCCCTGTCGTGGAGGCAGTTGTTTTCTATATATATTTTTTTTGCGGGGGGCCTCCCAGTGGGCATCCGTCCGTTTTGTCAACTCCGGGGGGGTCGAACTGCTTTTAAACAATGCGGAAGTCAACGGTGGCTGCGAGCCCCCCGTGAAACACAACACACTGCAATAAAGGGCACCGACAGAGAGGAGAAAAAGAATATATGCCGATGGGTTGGTAACGTATGACGATCGACCGCACATGTAACCCAAATTACTAGTTCAAATTTACCGTAGAAAACCAGTCAAAATTAGAAAAAAATATGATCAAAGCGAATGCATTACGCTTGTTTTAATGTATTATAGAATGCACAATTTTTCAAATGCGCCTTTTAATATTCCAATTGAAAGTAGAATAGACGCTCTTACCGCTCTTACCCAGTCATTTTTGCGCAAAATATCATAATTTCAATCTCCTTATAGCTCAATACATTTAGTCTAACAATTATATACCAAGTTTATAATTATTTGTGTCAAGACTTGGAAAATAACTGTCTACACACCAGCGGTCGGGGAACTTTTTTAACCATTACCCCAAAATATTTTTGCGTAAGTCGATATCAACCCCCACCCCCATTCTGAAAAGAAAACAATCAATGTAACAATAATTACTTTAAAATTAAGACTTTTTGATGTAAGAGCAATTTGAATACAGTCTTCGGCGTTTAATCGATTTCTGTTTTACGTTCATTAGAGTGGAAAAGCCTTGTTCACAAAGGTAGGTTGTTGCAAATGGAAGCAATTTTTTACCACTTCCTCATGTGCAATTTTGAAAGCCTTTGCAGCATTTGATAACCAAAAAGACGACAGATTTGCTTTGGTCTGAAATTGAATACGTGCTTCAGTATTGCGATCGAAGTTCAAGAATTGCCTCTGCCAAACCTGGAGGTTCTTCTGGTATGTTAGTAATTTCACATTTAAAAGGATCTACAACCCAATTCACAGTTGGTACATCAAGATCTGAAAAGTAGTCAGAGAACCGCTCTCTGAGTTTCGTAAGATGAAATTAGAAAATTTTCCCCCATTTTGGGTAATTTACCCCGGTTCCCCGACCGCTGCTCTACACCATCGATTACTTCTTGAATGGACAAAAAAACGCTTTCCAGAAAAAAAAACTTTTTTGGGAATGTTCAAGCAGTTTTATTCTTGTTAAAACGATGTTCACTATATTACTATTCTATATGTGTGGCTTTCAAAACTTTTCAAACTCCTCGTATATGACTCATTTCAAAATAGAATAGGCTTGAACGGAACCGTGGTAATGTGTAATTCTTACACACTAAAAGCATTCGCCTCTCAAACAGGCATGTAGGACCTCATCCCCCATCATCATTTACTTATTGACCTGTCGTGTCCCGGGATTCAAATATCTCTGGACACTGTGGAATAGCTCGTAGTTATGTCGTTGTGGAGTTTTTAAGAAATGCTAGAGGCGAAGTTGTAGTTTTTATGATAATAAACACTTTATTATTCACTATAAGATTATTAATAACTTCTATGTCTAGATTCCAGTTGCTAGGGTTTTTATGAGTCTAACTAGGACTCGGGAGGACTCTCCTCTAAGAATAAAACTAACTTGGACTAGCGACTAGGACTGCCTAGGACTCCCTTTGATATCCTATTATATTGTAGTGAATTAGCATAATGCAAGTATAATATTTGGTAAGAGAAGATAGTACCTAACTTTCCCTAATCATTAAGTAATTAGGCAGATGTACATATTAGTAGTCATTATCGATTGGCCCTTTGAATTTGTGCACAACATGATGACTAACAATAGTGATTAAGAATAGTCGTTACATAATGATTAGTTATATAATCTTCCTAAGTGGTGTACATAACACACCAATAAATATTTGAATGAAAATTTAAACATTTATTTAATTGGTTCCTAAGGCCCACGACAACCTTTATACGAACCTACTCTCAAACCAAGTCATTTCATATGGTATTTTAATTATTTTTTTTTAAGGGCATGCAAATAAAATTAGAGTCCCGAACTATTCTTAAACCAACACTGCATGTCTCTCTCATCTTTTTTTTAATGGTATGTACTGATGCGATATAACAATCTACTACGATTCACTTCTCCTGGCTTTTCAGATGATTCTTTACCAGGTTTTCTGGCTCTAGGAGCTCTATCAACTAAGCTTCATCATCGTGATTATTCGTCGTCCTCCTCTTAGCAATACCAGCACTTTGGGTCACTTTTCTCGTAATGAAGTAGAGGTACAGCGTGCGCGACTGTTCCTAGTAGCCTTCGTTTTCTCTGTTTCGGCCCTCCCACGTTTGGCATTAACATACTTATGGAAGTGGTGGTTAATGACGCGCGCTCCGTCGGGTTCTCAAAACTGAAGTTATTGTCTATAGCATTTGATGGCTTTTTATGATATATAGAAATATTGTAAGCCAAGCCCCGCTGTCATCATCTATGTATCCAAGTGACATACCCATAGGTATTTGATTGCTTTCTGCTACTTCTGTCGGTCAGCATTACTGCCTCCATATTTTCTGTCATTAAGATAAGTTCATTTCTGTCCATCCACTTTTGGATGTTGGCAACCGCCAGGTATGCAGATTCCACCAGTTCCTCTTCAGTTTTGGTGATATCTCCTCAAGATCAACTCTTCGTACAACTTGCCCATAGTGTCGATCATATACAGTAGCCTGTATAATGACGGGCTTCATGTGGGCTTCCCTGGCCTCTTCACGAGTATTACTTTCGCGGGCCGAATTAAGGTTGTCGTGAGCCCTAGACCAGATTTCCTACACTCTCCTCAGCATCTCCTTACTTAACTTAATAACTAACTATGTATTATTGCATCCTAAATCCAATATTTGTGGTGCCCAAAAATGTTCGTATACCTTAATATTGCTCGGGTTCACGAAGCATATTTCCTAATGGATAATGGTATTAACCTAGGGCCCCCAACCATTGGATTAATGATCAAGGTATGGTCTTTATTCGAATTTTAGAATCATTTATTTATCCACGAAATTCCAGTTGCTAAGCTGCCGAGAGACGCACAACAACCTCCCTCGTCATGTATTGTCCTAAGTAAGTAATAAGTCATGAAATTATATAATTAATAACATTAGTCTTTTTGTGATGTTTTACCAAGAACATCATACACGAAAGAGGACGAAAATGGAACGACTGTAGGGTTTACCTTGTTTAATTGTATCATATATTTGGAAAGCGTCCTCTTTGTGCAGAATCATTCGAACCAGCTGACTTTCTGGAACTCCTTAGTTACGAGTTTTATGTTCCAGAGGTTTTTCCTGCTTCGCTCATGAACTCTGGCGAATTCGTCTCTATGAACAGTATCTTTCCTTCTTCGGTTCTGGTTTCTTCGTCTTTCTGGTGTTCTTGCCCTACCTGTATATTCTTCCTCATGATCTCTGAGCAAAAGATGATGAAAATTGAATGGCTATCGGATGTAGCTTATATAAGCCACATGTACATGTATCATGGTTATAATTATCTAAAACTTATTAATTAAAACAAAGAGTATAAAATAGGTATTATATGTAATTCAATATACTGTGTAATAAATGACTATCTTCCACAAATAAACAAAGTATACAAATTATCAAAGTTGTGAGAATCATGGCCCATAATTTTCAATTACTTTAGAAATGAGAACGTACGTAATTGAAGTGGCCCCGAGGGTAAATTAATTGTGTTTATAGAAACAACACGCGGGCCGACGATTTTCCTACATTTTCCTCTTCCACCCCCATGCAAACTGTTTTCCCCTTTGACTTATCATTTTCCACCTGACGTTATTTTCATTTCCCTTTATAATATGCAATTTACGTGCTAGCACGCATCCACTGTAAACTGTTCCTCGCACTTTGTTATCATAGCTTATCCAAAAAACATATCTACAGTGTCGTCTATGTTGTAACCTTTGCGTGCAGCAACACACACACACCTATTCCCATTATTCCTATACACGTAGAGTATAACTAAATTTAATTAATTTAGGTCGCATTACGACGATTGGAAAACCGTAAATTGCAGGTTGCCATTGTGTCAAGAAGAAAATGAATATTGTGTCTTCTCTTGTTTAAATCAAACACATCAAGCAAATTACTTTCACCTTTTTCCCCGATTCTCTTCGTTTTTTTCTATTTGTTTCATTCTGACGTGTCGTGTATGTAGTTGTTGCGAAGGGTAATTAAGGCACGCCTCATAGATAACCGATGAAATAAGGGAAAACAAAGTTTCATAGCTAGCTCGATCAGACTAAGGACGACTTCGACCAGACTTCTTGACGATGTCCGACGTAGACCTAGTCCGCTGCCACAAGTCAAAATACGTCAGCGAATTTATCATTACGGAAACGAGAATCGAGAACGGACGCGCCATTCAGTTTTTCCGAAAGATGGATCTCGGTCTACGACCTCGCCGCAGCCTTCATCCTGTCTGGCCGGAAATTACGCCCAAATACGTAAATGAAGCATCCGTCTATCATCTGACCGACTACAACAACACCAACGTCAATCGCCCAAAGATCAAAGAGAAGAGAGATCGGTATTGAAAATTTGTATAGATATATCAACAAATTATTTACATTGATTAATTTATTTCAGTATGAAGCAATTCCGGAAAGAGACTAAGAAGTTTTATGGCAGGGCTATCAACAGCTTCGATAGGTATTGCCAAAATTCTACGTTGCACGGTTTGAAGTACGTTGGAGATGAGAACATTTCGACAACGGAGAGGCTCTTCTGGCTTTTGGCCTTCATTTCGGCGATCTGTTTTTCCACATACTTCATCACGAGTCTCTATACCAAGTTCAATAATAGCCCAGTCATCATCAGCTTCAGTCCTACTCCTGTCACCCTGGATACAATTCCATTTCCGGCCATCACCATTTGCAATGTCAATATCGCTACAAAAATGAGCGCCGAGAGGATACTGAATTTCGGGTAATTAGAAATTGCAATTACAACAGGAAAATTACTTAATAAACTGACATATTGGTCCATCTCCAGGAGCGAAGTTGACAAACGTTTACTCTCAGATATGTGCAATTTGAACAACTCTTTTTCCAACGAGACGGACGAGGATACCGCCGATTGGAAGACTGTCCGTAAATTTATCATAAAAGTAAATTATAGATTTTGACATTTCAATATCGTATTTTGACATTCAATTTCATAGATATCAAAACCAAACGACATCACTAATTTTTATATTTTGACAACGAATCTCATATTCCTAATGTCAAACTTCAACATTCCTATAATATTGACAATGTTCAAATAATCATTCTTTAAGATTTTGAAAACTATCCATATCGAACCTTTAATGTTAATATATTTAAAATTAAAACCGTCAATCAACATTGAGGTTGATATAATCATAGGTATCATAAAATTGAAGTTTTTGACTACCAAAATTATATTGTCTATGAAACATTTTTAATATCGAGAGAATAGGCATTTTTATTCTTCATTTTTTTTTAATGTAACTCATACTTCCGTCATAGATTGATGTCGTAGATAAATCTAGATATTGTGTACTTTAAGATAAATCAGCGATGCGACGAAATGTTTAAAATTTGCCGTTGGGAGAATAAAGACATAGACTGCAAGTTCTTCATCAACAGTGTGCTGACGGATGAGGGCTACTGCTGCTCCTTCAACCGACTTCCATCCAACTACTCTCTGAGACAAACGTACGATTAATAAATTATCATAGTAATTTTCCTCTTCATACAAATATAGTCCGCATTTCAGTGCCGACGATATGAACGAAACATTCTACAATAAACGTGTTGATTGGAATCCGGAGGTTGGGTATCCTCCTGATGCCGACGCCGACGTCCTACCAAAGAGAAGCTACGGCGCCGGAAGTCACCTTGGTTTAACACTGGTCCTCGACGCTGATTTGGCACAGTACTATTGCTCATCAACGAGCAGCACCGGTTTCAAGGTGATCTAAACTGCACTTACTATTTAAATATACTAGTTATTAATAATTATTCATTTTATATATTTTTATAGGCTTTGATTTCCAGTCCCATCGAGTCTCCGAAAGTAGCGGACTTTGGTTTCTTAATTCCACCAGGAGACGAGACAAGAGTCACCATCGAACCAATAATCATGGATGCTACCAAAGGTATAAAGGGTATCGATATCAAGAAGCGACAGTGCTTCTTCAACAACGAAAGATATCTACAATTTTATAGGTTTTGATACAATTTTCATATCAAACACGCAACAAATTAAAGTATCGATTTTTAGGCTGTATTCCGAGCGTAACTGTAAACTAGAGTGTCAAGCTAACTTTACATTGAACCTTTGCGGATGCATCCCATATTATTTACCAAGTATAGCAAAATCACAACTGAAACTAGTGCACATTTCTAAGTTAAATGTTTTTTTTTTCAGAAAATATGTCCACCAAAATATGCGATAAGAAAAAGGAAGAATGTTCAAATAGAGCTAAATGTACGTAGTCGATAATTATATCCGCATTTATAAAATTTAATAAAATGTTTTAGATATAATCGAAAAGTACACAAAAGAAAGGTAAACAACGATTAAATGTGACGTGAAAGTATTTGAATTAATTGCGCGATATTTTATACAGAAGAGAATGCAACTGCTTACCAAGTTGTTTCGACATAAACTACACCAAGAAGGGATACTCTATGGGAAAGATCACCAAGAAATACAACAGCACAGTCAACAGCGACATCATGCAAAACGCAACATTCGACTATTTCGCGTAACAATTGTTTTACTAAACATAATTACAAAACTTACCCAATTATACTTTTTTTTTTTCAGAGAAAACATGGCAGTCGTCCACTTCTTTTTCAGCAACGACAAATTCATCAAGCAGACTAAAAGCGAACTCTACGGATTCTCCGAGTTTCTCTGTAAATTTCCCCATATCTTCGCTGATCCAAAGAAAAATATCAATATTTGTATTGTTTCATATTTCAGCCAACACCGGCGGCCTATTGGGTCTCTTCTTGGGCTTCAGCTTCCTCAGTGCCATCGAAATATTCTACTTCATATTCCTGAAAACCAGCTGCAGCTTCTACAAAAAGGAGAGGAACAAGCGCGACATGAAACCGATTTCAAAATTGCCCTTCCTTCAATGAACCACATTCGGTGTGTGTTATTTAGTTGCATTATAGTTGATTCAGTAATATGGAAGTATTTAATTGTATAATAATAGAAGTGTGTATTTATTTTTTTTAATATTCTTTCATATCTAAAAGTGATTAAAAAACTTATGTTACGTAAAATACGCCATCTACGATGGGAGAGATGAAAGTTAGATTGAACTTACTTAGGCAACTCCACGGGCGATTAGAGTTGTGCGCGAGTCAAGACACGGAGAAAAACCTTCACGAAATCCGGTACAAAACATATAAACGTGTTTCCTTTATTATTTATGTACATTTACAAAGTTTAGTTTCAAATAATCAAAGAAGAAAAATAACCTAATTCAATTAATTAGTTAATTCTCAACTACGTAATAATCCTCTTAAAAAAATAAAATCTAAATCACATTTAAAACAAAATAATAAACAAAAACAGTGTATGTATATGTATAATATATATGTATAAGGTGCTAAGGGAGAGAAACAACAGAGCAATTGCTTCCCTTTATCTTAAAGTATACTTTTTTGTTTAAACTAATCATAACAATATATTGGAAATAACCAATTTAAACAATTAAAACAAAAGTCTTTGGCTTTCATGGAGAAAAATAAACAAATTATATGCATGTGTGTATATATATATATCACTTCTTTTCGATTGGGTTAAATCATTAGCACCAACTAAACGTATAAACTAAACTCATACAGGGTGTAATAAAGACATAAACAAAAAACAACATTCTTCTATGCATTCCGCTAATGCAAATAACACGTCCAACACCGAAATTCGAGTTTGATCTTTCATCTCTTATCGCTCTTCCAAACGCTCGCATGTACGTATTCATTCTATATATATATATTATATCGTATTAACAATTATGTATTTACTTGATTGCAAATATTTAGTTACTGCCGCAAAGCAAACAATTAAAATAAACTTCGTTTAAAATTATCTAAATATGTTTTGTATGTAAGCATCAGATACAATAACCAGTCAAATGTGTTTTCAATTTATCTTATATGTATAAATATGTAGTCGTTATCGTGAAAGAGAAATAAAATAATAACAATAATAATAGTATTAATATAAACAGGCGGACAGAAGGCGACAATTTGAAATATCTTTTTTTGTAGGAGAGAAATCAATAAGCGAAAGTATATTTGTTACCAGGACGTTAGACGATGACGTCCGTGCGGCTTCCGTTGTCCATATGGCCGGAGCTGACGGAGGAGGAGTCGGTGGAGCCAGAGTCGGTAGAGCTGGAGAATTCATGGAAGTAGTCTGAGTCGTCCGGGTTGTGTTCACCGTTGATGCTGTGGCGATCGGAAGCGGTGACGAAATTTGCGGGCTCGGCTTGCGATTGATTGAGAAAGAAGTGGGAGGGCACCAGATCGGAGAAGGTGCCGCCCTGTGTGACAGTTCGCCCGTTGGCTACGCCTGTCAGCAGGGGCGTTCTGTCATCGCTGTCGGTATCGCTGTCGGTATCAGAGTACGGGACTTCATCGTTCACGAACACCTTTCTCTTGCACACCGGACAATCGCGACGTGCCTTCGTCAACCACGGATCGATGCATTTCGCATGATATGCTAGTAAAGGGCGAGAATAAGAACAACAACATCAGAATAAAATATTAAAACCAGAGTCGAACCGGAACCGAAAACTTTAACAGAACCGTAAATGTAACCGGAACGTAAAATGGCTCAATTTCAGTTCAATTTTATTTTTTTCATGAAATTAATTCATAATCTCTTTCTATCATGTATGTTCTTTTATGGGGGGTCTATATCGCAAGCCCGACAACCGAAAGACCGTCTATTGAAATCCCGACTGTATCGAAATCCCGACTATATCAAAATCTCGACAACCATAATCCCGACTGTATCGGAATCTTGACAACCATAATCCCGACTATATCGAAAATTTTTACAATAACATTTTAAAATTATTTCGGAGCGCAGTCACCCTGTGCTACACTTTTATTATTAATAACAATAAATTATTATTAATTTATTTGATTTTGTTGAATTATTCATAATAAACCTTGACATTATGAAATAATTTCAAATACAATTAGATTATTCATTGTTATTATTTATTATTAATAACAATTTTAATGTCACTACGCTCCGGAATAATTTAAAAATGTTATTGTAGACATTTTCGATATAGTTGGGATTATGGTTGTCGGGATTTCGAACGTCGAGAACTTGATTGACAGTATTTCGGTTGTCGGGCTTGCGATTGCCACCGCTTTGATGGTAGTGTGCCGGTGCTAGTGTTTTAATTGATTTATATATTCGAAAAATATATTTTTTCGACATTGTGTTGGTTGGTGTATTGTTAATAGAGTATATAAACAAACAATGTATAAGAGACATCCACAAAGTCTCTTTGAATACTCCGAATTCTCTTTTTAAATAAACAAATACATAATAAAACCATCCAGGCATAATTCCGTGGGAACGCTTAATCAATAATATAAATAAAACCCTACTCCCAATCACAACCCATAATAATAAGAATTTATTTATTATTAAACGGAAACCAAGCCGCAAACATCGAACGTCATAAACCAAAATTTGATATTTGATCCGATTTTAAATTTTAACTTTAACGAATTTTATCATCCAGAACTGAACCGGAATCAAACCGAAACTGAACCGAAATTTTTAGACTAACTGAAACCGAATCCGGAACGATAAACATTTACATGGAACGTAACCATAAACCGAAACGAAATTGATTTCAGTTCGACTCTCTGATTAAAATGTTTGCATACCATGGGAGCATGGCAGTATCCTCAGCTTCTCGCCGTCGACGTAATCGTCCAAGCATATGGCACAGGTCTCGTACGGATCACCCTTCTGGAACTTATTCGTTGGTATCTTATTCAGAGCCGAAGAACTCAATCTATCTCTGCGTTGCCTTCTTCGGTCTCTCACGTACTTGACGACCTACAACAACGATGCATCATCTCTGATCGATTTACTAATAATTATTACCTTTCATGTACAACAAATTGTTTGAAAAGCAGTTGGAAATTATAGCTAACACGAGTAGATTGCATTGTTTAATAATCACTATAAAGTGAACTCTGTATCAAGTTTTCTATCACTTATGAAGCATGAGTTATTTTGGTGATTAATTTGAAAACAACATTTACTCAATTTCTTGATTTTTATAAAATTTGATAATTTTACATATATGTTAAGGAAATATATTTTAATAGGTTATTGCGATTGTGAAAAGCTTAGGTTGGGATAGGTTTGATGAATATGAAATAAACAATTGGCACACAGATGATAAGATGTTTAATTAATTGAGTTAGGAATTTCAAATGAACTGTAGCGGTTTGGTCCACAGCTGATTTATTTGCATCAATTACTAAAAAAATTAATTTTGTTTGCATTGTTTTCGAAATACATTTGACTAAAGTAAAAAAAAAAAATGCAATGATTAATCGTTCAGATTAGAAACGCGCAATATCAGCTTAAAATTACCCATTCATTTCTGAATACTTTATAATAGTATTATTATTATTGTTTCTCCTGAGTCATATAATCACGTAAGAAAATAAATATCCAATTACGGTAACTAGTGAAATAGTTTTCCATGCAGTCAGCAATGAATGGATGCTTTATAATAAAAAATTATTTTAATGTTATTAAATACTGAAACGTATTATTAGGGTGACCAGACCAGTTCAATCAAAAATAGGAACAGAACGTCTGGTCACCCTATGTATTATTATAATTTCTTTTATAGCCATTTAGCTACCTTGATTATAGGTAGGTGAAAGAGTATCATAAGACCTATTAAAATCAAAAGGTGTCTTACCATAAAGATTAGCATTACTAAAAAGCAAATTCCAACTGCAATGGCGAATGGCAAGAGCAGATGGGTGTTTATATTGAACGGCATATCGGAGTTGATAATGATGAAATACTCTCCGCTATTGTTGTACGAGTAGCGAAGTAAGCCTTTGCCGGTAGTCTCGGAGACGAAAACGGAGGGTATGAATATTCCGCTCGAATTCTTTGCGGACATTGGCTCCAGCGCATCGGAATCAACGTTGTGCACAATCACAGCCTCGTAAAACGCATCTTGGGCTATCCGGACTTTCTTTTCAAAAGGACACTGGTTCCTGGAAACGACTACAAACCACTTTCCGAAGCGATTGGTAAAGTTCGGGGGTGGCTTTATTGGCTCACAGGCGTGAATCGGTTCAGCGTATACGAACATTCCTTGGAGTCCCTCATAGGGTAGGGGAATGCCAAAGGTGGATGCCATGTCTCTGAAGGATTCCACCATGAAAGCTGGATCCTTCTGTTAAATAATTAAAGGTTCATCAGTTCTGTTTATCTTCTTGATATTATTATATATATATACTTACATGGAGAACGAGGATCTCTGCAGAGGCATGCTGATGAAGGACAAGAAGCAGCAGCAGTGCAGGGTAGATCATCTTTGATTTATTGGATTGTCGATTCAGAGATTGCTTTACTCACATAACATCAACTGTTGGTATGAGGATGTTGGAAATCTGTAGGGATGACAACAAGAGATCAGAACCAATATATTTACACCTCAGCAGATGAAGGGACAACTATTAATAAACTGCAAGAGGTAAACAACAACGGACGTGATAAGCAAACGTTCGGTGGTTTCAAATGACGCTTTTCATCTTTTCTTGTTGTGATGATTCCCTCTAGCCCCCCCACAACCGTATCACTCTTTCTTCTCCTTCTCAATTTTCCACCTCCCTCTCACTCACTCATTCTCTCTCTATCTCTCTCAAACACACGCGCGCTACCAATCCTCTCGATAATCACAAACAACTACTGCAAACTGTCAAATTAAACAAATAACCTTCACGTTAATAATCTATTTTAAAAGGATTTCTCTGATCCAGCAGGGAGTGTGTTTGTATGCACGAATTGTGGCTATCCTCAGCTGTACCGTAAATACGTCGCTCATTTTACACTTGCAGATGAATCCACCAGTTCCGTTTTTCCTTCTTCTGTTGTTATTAACTCTTCCAATTCGTAAACACTTAGACTGTCTGTCACTGGGGCGACCTGGGCTTCGACTTTCAGCAAAAACTTGACAACTTTGACGTTCGACCGTGCTGAAGACGTGCGTTAGACGGAGAGGGAAGATATGCACATGAGCGACGTTGCCGTGTTTTCTTCAATTCCATCATCATTACATGATAATTAGAAACATTGCTTATTTTATTTATTACTATTTACTTATCATTAGAATGCGATGTTTTCACTTGATCTTTCGTACGTTTTTTAAAAACCAAAATACAAATGCTAAGAACTTAACTAAAGTCAATAGCTTAATTATCGGCAGATGAATAACATATTAATCCGAAATGTAAACAAAATAATTTTAAGAAAGGAATTTAATGTGCGTTACATCTTTGAAACGGGAAATCATATAGATTATTTTCTGTTAACAAACAACTTTTCAACAACAGATTATAATTATAGAATTTATGCATTAATTTATTTACAAATATCTCAAGACAAATAACATGGGAATGCAATTATTGTGTGACTTTCAATATTATAGACAATTGTATGCAGAGTTGCATAAATCACTATTGTTATTATTGAATATTTCAGAAACCAATAATAAAACAGTTAAACTGTTCCTAGAGGGAAGCAGGAGAAAGTAAAAAAAAACAGTTATAACAACAAAGTAAAAATATTTAAGCTGAATAATATAGAAATTTATTAATTACTTTATCCATTATATTTAATTGAATTAATAATATAGCTTTAATTTTAAGAAAATATATAAATGTTAATTTTGATTACTTGGAAAATTTGGTCATTTTGTGACTAACGATTATATTGAAATTGAGGTGAAAGTGCTTTTCCCTGACCGCAGGACCGAACTGCGCGATGGACATGAAAATCACAAGGACAACGAGGTTTAAAAACGTATTTAATGGATAAATAAAGTGATAACAATTAAAATATGACCCCAAATGATGAAACAAAGGAGCAATTATCTGTTGGGGATGCTTACGCACAACAAATGATTATATTGCTTCTTCCTTGGTAGTCTGCCATTTCTTCATGTAACGTTCGTGTCTCCTCTTGATTTCCATAATTTCCTTCATCTCCTCCCTATCTTCGTCCTACAAAATTGTTTGATAAAATTAAACGATCCATTCTTCGTTTAATAATTATAGCTAAAAAGTAGATTAAATTTGAGCATTCACCGATTGATTCAGTCGCAGCACAAGCGCTCTCTTTCCATTCGACATAGGTTGCGAATAAACCATCAATTGTTTTAGTCTTTCCGCGGGGCTCACGCCCCTTTCCACCACCAAAACGATCCTAGCCCACTGCGATTGTAAATTTAGTATATTATTATAAGTTGCATTAGTATTAGTATAAAAATGCAATTGCATCCACTGTATACAAACCTGTCTTTGCCATTCGTTCCTGGTCTCGGCGATTTTTTGATACGTGTTTCCCATCATCGCTATCAACATGTTGACCAGAAGCACTCCAACAATCACCATGTAAATAACGAACATTATCTGAAATCGAATTTATATTTAGAATTCGGTCAAACTTACAGACATATCAAAATCCATTATTGTCTTGGCTTCCTTAATCTTCCGTCCCAATGGAAGCAAGAAATGTTCATTGATTTCCAATAAACAAAGAACCGCTTGGATTGGTTTATTTACTTTGGCCCCGATCTCGTGTTCCGTCTTTTCAAATGAAACGTAGTAATCGCCGAAATTGGTCATCGACATCAGAAACATAGCCATAATCGATTCCACCGAAGTGGACATCGGATTCGAGCTGGAGTCGTCGACGTCTTCGGGTGTTAAAGGATTATCGAACGATAGGAATATTATGTAAAAAGCTTCAAAATAAATATTTCCATTAGAATTAATATGTTTTGAGGAGATAAATTTTGATATTGTAAAACCTTGAGAAAATCCCATCACAAAGACGAGGTATATAGACGCGAATCTGAGCAGGTCGCCCATCACCATGCGATATATCATCACGACGAACGGACCGACAGTTTTGAAACCTCTGGACAGTTTTAAAATTGATGAATGCAAATGTTTTTTTTTTATTAATGATGTTTACCTGCAGAAGAATAGAAAGTACGGAGCTGTTGTAAGCATGATCACTATGGCAACAACGTCTTCGATCTCATCCAGACAGAACATTCTCAATACAGGAACAATTAACATTAGGATGCAGGAAAACAGGAACATGACTCGAGATGGTGCTGTCATCTAATAGCATTTTTATAATATTAATAGATAAATAATTAGAGAAAGAGATTACCAGATTTTCGAAGAACATCCTGCCGCCCAAAAATCTTGCCTCTCTGAACCCCGCAGCTAAATAAATCAAAGAACCCAAAAGCATTCCTCCCTCACAGAACAACCGAATTTGCTCCGCAAATGTTTCGTAAGTCATCAATCTGCATTCCTCCGTCAACTTATCCCACCATTCCTCCACATCATTACCAATGTCCTCTTCGACGCTCACATTTTTAACTGAAACCTTGAAATGGAATAAACGCTTTAAAACCATTAGTATAAATGTAAATTACATTTTGTCATGTTCAAAAGAGTCGACGCATTGACCTTATCCTCCAGTTTAGTTAAAGGTGGACCAGGTCTCAGTGTGAAACTGATTAGGGATATGAAGAAGTAAAAGGCGAACGTAAAGAATTGCCTATAGAACTTGTTCTTCACGAATGTGTTCCACTTGGCGTTCAAGAGATCAATTAACACTCCGTCCATCAGCTCTAAATGCTCATCTTTATCCTAGATAAACCAATAATCAGTTTAGAAACACTAATGTGTTAATTGGACGGATTTACCCCAAAAACGACAAGATTCAAAGCCGAAGTTTTGCTTATGTGACCTGTCTTTGTATCGATGGTGTCTATTTGATTCAGTGGATAAGCGGCGCAAGTGATGCTACCAATCTGCCAATAGATTTCCCTTTCTAGTTTCAAAATGTGAAAGAAAATCTCAATTCTCGCCAATTGGGCGGCCAAAGTTAACGCGGTCATATCCTGCACGTTCCTCATGTGCAGCTGAGCTCCAACTTCGTAAGCCATATCGAAAGATTCCTAAACAGAAAGTGTGCTTTTCTTTTCAATCCATCATAATTACTTTAAACTTGAGTATATAAGTACCAATTTTTCGTAGATAACTAACATGTGCAATATGCTATTTCCATTTGTGTCTTGCGCATTTGGATCCGCTCCTTTCTGCAGAATCAGCCGAAAGCACTCTTCTTGGCCCAAGCACGCTGCGAAGGTCAAAGGGTATTCACCCCAATACACGTAACTGCCACACAAAAACGTGTATTTACTCTTCAATTACATTTAAAAACTTGTCAATATATCTATACCCGTTGTAATTAGTCACAGCGCAGACGTTCACCCATTCGTGATCCAAAGAATCCGATCTCGATGATTTCTGATCCTCTGGACACATGAAGTTGCCGAAACAACGTTCCTGCACGTTTACGTTTGCTGCCAAAAGGAATTTCACCATACCCGGATCCTCATTGACGATCGCAATATGCAGCACATTCTCCCCTATTCGATATAATCTAAACTTAGTAATAATATCGAAAGAAAATATTGAAATTACCATAATACTCATCTGATATGTAGATGTCGTTAATCAATTTCGGATAGAACCTAAGCAACCTTTTAGCGATGTCTGCATGTATGGAAGTCGCGTTTAGGAGACAAAGATGCAGAATAGTCTCACCAACAGCACCGCGATCCTTCAAATTCCAACACGTAAATCTGTACAAGGAAGGATCTAAAAACGAACTGATTACATCTAATAAATGTTAATTTCTACCCACTCTTCTGATATTCCTCTTCAGATATGCCAGGTCCTTCATCGTCAATCTCAAAGTCATCGGGGTTTTCCATGGCTTTCAATGGTGGAAGCTACAAAAAAGCAATATTAAACTTTAGTTATATTTTTTAGTTCCCATTACGAGTTTATAACGAGCTCGTTCTTTATTCCTCAGCAACACTAAATCCGATATCTTCAGATATCTCCCTTCGCCCTTATTGTACAGCAAAGGTTCGACCTGAAAGCGAGAAAAGTTAATTCAAATATAAAATATAGTAAGTTAAGTGTAGACCTTTGTTTTGATCGCGTGATCTATTTCGGCGTATTGTTTATTTTGAGCCGCCCTCTTCATCAATTCTACAAATAATCCGCCACCTAGAAACGAATCTTACAATTCTTTAAGGAACTTGAATTAATAGGTTAACAACCTTTGAGATCGCAGAGCTTGTAGATCTCGAGCACAGAAGCGCCGGCCTGTTTCTTGACGCCGCTCGTAACGTTGCTCTCCGTGTTACCCATTATTTCAGGTGAATATGGACAGAATCTCTACACATTTGTTTTTAAATTTGGCCTTTATTTCTTAATACTTAATAGCTATGGAGAAGGAACGAAACTTAAAAACAATTAGAACACCTGGGTACTGACGAGCACATATTGATCAAACGTTGAGGTGGATACCAACCGGTTAAAATATATACAGGCAAACTTCAAAATAGTTTTAAAAAATAATATTATGTAAATGTAATGCTTAGAAAATAACAATGATAAATATAGAGTATAAAGTAATTCAAAAGAGTACATTCATTTTTGCAATTTATTTTGCCTTCTTCGCCCTTCCTTTCGAGGTACCCGCACCCTTCTTGCTTCCCTCACCAGTTTCCTTTTTGGTTTTGGTCGCAGGCTTTTTCTTCTCCTGAAATAAGAATGATCAATATAAAATAAATGCACAATCGTTTTCACCACACGCGTTTTTCCATTTTTATTTTGTTACCTTTATCATAGCATCCTTAGTAATGTCATCATCGTCTTCGTTGTCATCGGATTCCTCGCCTTCGACGTCTCCGTAAACGTCCGATTCGACCTTCGATGTCTTCTTCTTGAAGGTCCCCGTGTTGATAGAATATGGCAGCATCGCGCCTTCCTTGTTGTAGGCGCGGGTGAATGCAGCTTTAACCTTGGACTCCACCGAAGCCATTGGGTCTTTTCGCTTGGGCCACTGGCTCAACTCCAAAATGCTATCCAGGTCTTCCCTGAGCAAGTTGTAAGCTTGCATCACCTCCAGCGATTTTGCCACGCCATCTGATCCCTCCTTCTGTAGAGGTTTCACGATCGAATCTCGTAAATAGTAGATGTAATCCAGATTAACAGCAGTTTTACTTGCGGAAGCTCTAAAAAATAAATTTTAAAAAATCTATCTTTGATAGAGTCAAGAATTCGAGTTAACGTACGTCGTGCGCATGTGGACTTGAAGCTCAGTCATGAGTCTTTGGAATTTGGTTCTTTTAGAGTTTTTGCCCAACCATCCGGGGAAGTTGATCTGACCGCCAAAGTGACCGGACATGTAGTGACCTGGCAACACCGACGAGTACATAGCCTGCGACTCTAACAGAGACCAATTGTTCGTAGATCTGATTTTCTTGTCAATGATATCACCCATGCTGATGGCGTCTGCGGCGGAGGCTACCCTCTCTAGGAGATCCTTCTTGTTGCAGTGTGGCACCACCTGCAGATAGTTCTCTTGCACGAAGAGCGGCGCGATACTGTAATCGTAAAAGAACAGCTTCGACTTGTCCGCGATCGAAGTCTTCTTATGCTCCTCTTCAGAAAACACCTTCCGGATAACCTCCCAAGGCCCGATCACAGTGTCTTTCTTCGAAGCATTCGACTCCTTCTGCGCAGTGTCCACCGTCAAGTTCTTGTTTGCGGCCGTCCACATCGACAAGTTGTTCAGCGTTTGTCTTATATCCATGCCGGCGCCTTTGATAACCTCCATCAAAGCGTCCGGGCTGATCTTTACCTTCTCTTTGAAGCAAATACTCATCATGGCGCCCTGAAATAAAATCATTCTGTAAACTCTAATTCATAAAGCATTTCTATTATATACTCACTCGGATTTGTTCAATGCGAGGATTCGCGAATCGCAAATCCATACAATAGTTTACCAAAGAACGTATCTTCGGATGCTGACGATCGTTGCACATGCATATTATTGGCACACTTGTATTCTTTATGAGACCGATGAGCTCTTGGATTCCACCTCTATCCTCATTTCCGGCCATTCCATCTACTTCGTCCATCAGAAGGACGTGCTTCTTGGTCGGCGCAGATCCATCCTTGAAGTAAGTGGCCAGAGACTTGGTGCTCAGCAGCTGGGCTACTTCTTCGTGCAGCAATCTCTTACTCCTGGTATCTGAAGCATTGAACTCTACCACGTCGAAGCCCAACTCTTTGGCAACTAGAGTGGCCGTGGTCGTCTTACCAACGCCCGGCGAACCGCTCAGCAGAGCGCATTTGAAGTACGCGCCATCGTCGTTCTTCGCCCACGGACTCGGCTTTACAAGCTTCGGTCTGTTCTTTCCGGAATGATTTTTGTACCAATTCGTCAACCATGAAATTAACTTTTTCATGTTGCTGTTATCTCCCTGCTGTCCGATAATACCTGCAATATCCTTAGGCTTATACTTCTCAGTCCAAGACCTATTATCATCTGACACTTCCACCACTTCCCTCTTGACTGCAACAACCTTATTCTCCACACTTTTAGCTACTTTTGATTCCTTCTCATTTTTTATACTTTTAACTTTATTTCCAGAACACTGCGTTTTTTCATTTGCTAGTATATGAGCCTTCACTTTTCCGTTTTCCTCTTCAGTTTCTTTCTTGGAATTCTTCACTTTTCCATTTTCCTCTTTAAACTTTGGACTTTTTGATTTTACATTTTCTTGTTTGTTCTCCTTCTCCTTCTTGGGACTCTTTGGTTCGACCTTGATTTTCTTTTCAATTTCTTTCAGATTCTTCTTCCGCCTCTCATTTGACTCTTTGATTGGAGAACATACAATATCATCATCATCTTCGGAATGTTTCACGTATTTTGGCGGCATTCCGGATTTTACCAGAATCATATCCAGCAATTCATCTTCAGTGATCTCCTTAATTCCAAAGCTACGCGCTTTTTCCAACTTCGATGGACCGGGGTCTTGACCGACCACCATATAATTAACTTTCTCTAAAAAAAAAAAACACATTAACTCATTATATTACACTAGCTTAATTGAAATGTATTTCATTACTTGAAACGGCACTGACTGTCCTACCGCCGTGCTCTTTAACAAGTATATCCATGTCGTCCTTCTCCATTGACTCTAATACTCCAGTTTTCAAGAAACATAAGTTCTTCAAACAATCCGGTTTTCCCTGCATAGTAAATGTATAATATAACTAGATTGAGGTCATTAATAATCATCTTACCTTAGGCATCTCCTTTTGTCCTTTAAGAACTGGCCCACTTCTGTTCAAATACTGTTTGTAAAGCATAGCACTGTATCTCTTCTTTTCATATCTCTCCTGGTCAGGGTCCAATCCAGACTCATCCAAGTCCTCCTCAGCTTTCCTCTTCCTACTAACAGGAGTTTTATCCACCTTTGCTGTATCCTTCTCAACCTTCATTTTCTCCTTCTTAGGAGTATTCACCATTTCACAACTGCTTTCCCCATTATCACATTTATCTTTATTTAGTGAATCTTTTTCATGTTTAACTTTCTTACAAGCAACCTCTACAACAGTTGTATCTTCCTTAGATGACTTCTCTTTCTTCAATTTACTCTCTTTGCTTAAAGTTTTCTTAGGTGTGCTCTCTTCAAACATAGCCTCATTCATGCTCTTATCCAAAATGGATTCATCTATATCAAAATCATCATCCAATTGCTGCAGGGTCTTCTCAAAATCTTCATCCTGCTTTTTCTTTTTGTTCTTTACTTCACTCTGCACTACTTTCCCTCCGAACAACTTCTTGACATTGACAGGTATTAATTTCTCCTCAGTCTTCACCTTTGCCTTCTTCTTCATAGACTTGACCTCTTCATCAGAAGAATCTGATTCAATTACCTTAGTTTTCTTCTTCTTAATTTTGACTTCATTTTTCTTCTGTGCCTTTGGTATTTCTTCATCACTTGAAATCACCTGCAACTTCTTATTTGCTGGTGATTTACTGCTCTTTACTGGTGATGGTTTCTTATCCCCTTTCTTGGTGTAGACCACATTGAAATAAGACTTGATATTCTAAAAATATAAACAATGTTAGTTTTATGAAGAAACATAACCAATCACTTTTTGTTATTTTAAATTTCTTATATTTAAAGCGACAGCTTTCGTTAATACTCACACGAGACATTGTGTTAATTGATCTTGGATATTCAAGCACTTTAATAATACGTTTTAGTATTTGTCTAATACATAACGAAAAACTATTCACTGAAGCTTTGACTAAAAACCCTCCAAAATGTGTACAGGTGATCTAGGCAACCAATGATTCAGTCATAATTTTAGCTTTGTTCATTGGAAACAATAAAAAAGATTATATAAATTTCAGTTTAAAGGAAAGAGTAACAATTTCATTTTAAAAAACAGATACAAATATAAATTCAAGAGACATATTTTTAAATAACGAAAAGTCTGTTGCCTAACTTTTCAGTTAGGAATAACATACCATTTTCAAAACGTTCATTTTTTTGTAATATTTACTAAAAATAATATCTGTGTATTGCTTGTGATGGTTAACATTAGAAGAATTTATTTATTAATAATTTACAATCAAAGAGGGGCCTAGCCACTATCAATCACTTGGGCCAATTCAATGAAATAAAAAGTTTTGCATTTATGATACATATTTTGGTGGCTTAGGTTCGACGACGGGTTCTTCCGAATCTGTTCCGAAGTACAGGCCGTAGGTAAAGGGTTTCAACTCCCACGGCACTTGATCCTCCATCCTTCGCAAGTTAACACCTAGATCCTCCAAAGTTGGAATGGCTTGGTTCACCCTGTCAGTGACGAACTCGCGCTCCAACCTCTCCCAATGCAGATTGCCAACGGGGAAGGCGGGACTAAACTTCTGGGTTAACGATACCTTCAACTTGAAAAACATATCGTACTTCATGTCGTAGCGTTTGTATCCCCATTCGCTGTCCTTCCGCATCACCCTGTAGAACCAGTCCACAAGTTCGTTGAGCTGATACCTCCTGGGTCCAACAGCTTGGTAGACCTTACCAGCGGCCTCCGGATCTTTAATAGCCGCGACGATACCGGCGGCCAAGTCGCTCACATGCACTGGCTGCTTAATGGTAGCTTCACCATTTTTCCACATCGGCATGTACTGTCCTTGCCTCCTCCAGTTATGAGCGTAATACCTCAAGAACCTGTCCTCTTGGCCGTACACATCGGATGGCCTAAAGATGGTAGCTTCGGGAAACTCTTCCAGCACTGCCTGTTCACCTTCCCACTTGCTGGAAAGGAATTTGGAGCCTTGGCGACTGAAGATCGCTTCGTTCGGTCCATCACAATTCAATGCTGACAGATGGATGAACTTTTCAACACCAGCCTTCTTAGCGGCCCTCGCCAAATCCCTAGCGCCCTTCACGTGAACATCCTGGAAGGAGAAGTTCTTGGTTTCCCAATCACGACCAACCAAATTGATGACCACATTTGAATACTTCAAAGCTTTATCAATGGACTCCAAATCCTTCAAGTAGTATGGCTGGAAGAGCACCTGTCCCAAATCTCCACATAACTTCAATCTCATAGTTTCATAGTTGTTACCTCTGTATGGTAAAATCAGCTACAACCAAATCAATCATTAAATTAACTCAAATCCATCCCAAATCCCAATAATCACCTGAGTGCCAATTTTCCCCAATTTATTAGCAACATATCTACCAATGAAACCAGTTGAGCCAAACACAGTAGCAACGATTCCATTAAAACTGGACCGGCCACCAGTGCCCCTCTTCAGAGAGGCCAAGTTGTACACTTTAGCATCTGAGCTGTAATTGTTCACGCGGATATAGGCAATGCCCACCAACCCACTTTGTTGTTCTGCAACAGAAAAGTTCACATAATTTAGGTTATATTATTATGTAATGGCAATAAGCAGGCAGTAAATATCGCAGCAAAATTTCTAAATCGTCCTCTTCACATATTTATAAAATTAACTGTAGAAATTCGCGTTCACCGCTGCAGAAAATGATTCAATTTTCTACTTACTCAAAAGTTGAGCCCCAGTAAATATAACTGCTGCCATTTTGGCAAATCGACTGATCCTGCTGGATAGGCAATCTCCTGTTATGACATTCCGCAGGATTGTTTAATGTGTTGCATATATACATCTTTGAAGTAATATAATATATTTGTTTATCGATTTCACAATATAATTATATATTATTTATAAATTTTTAAATCGATTACCTTAACATATGGTATGATTTATATAAATGTAAATAAATTATCAAAATTTTAGTTAGCAATTAGATGAACGTTGAACAGGGCCGGATTATGTTATTTTTGCATTGAATTAATGTAACAAATTGAAATAAAGAGCAACAAACAATTATCACTCAATTTGTTAATATTGTTCCTAGGATTCCAATTGGATTGTAAAAATTTAATTGTGGTATAGGATCTAAACTTTAAACTATATAATCTATTTATAAATGTAATTAAAGCTGTTAAATCCATGTAAAGAATTGAAGGAAAAAATAAACTAATAGGGTTATTTAGCGAAATGCAATTTCGTGTGTTATTGTAATACCGTTTTATGGTGTTGGGTTTAATATAATTGAATTTAATAAAAACTGACTGCCGTTGAACGCTTGCAATTGATCCGTGCAGCCGGAAGAAGTTGCATTCTGAATGTGCCATTGAGTGCGGAACGGCGTTTTGAACGCGTTAAAAATTTGCGATGCGGAAACTGTTCACTCGGTTTGCAAGAGGATGCTGGATGCAAGATCAGATCGAAATTGCTTTTTGTTTCCTTCGGCTGTTGAAGGTGGCAAACGATGGTAAACAAAAGTGGGATTCGAGGCGCGTTCTTCGCGGCAAAAGCGCACGCGTTCCCATATTGTAGCGGACTTGGAACTTTCGGTCTGTCGCTGCAGGCAGTTCGCGATCGCAATTCATACAGATAACAACGCGAAAATTAACTGAAAGTTTTGTATAGTGAGAATACGGAATTCTCAACTCGTTTCCAAGCCGCAATTCCCATAACAACTGCAAATAATTAATCTAACGCAAAGTAAGTGTTCTTTGGTTTTCAATTATTCTTATAATTATAATACAATATAAATAAAAAATGCACTTAAAACTTAAACTGGAATTGGGAGAAAGTGGAATTATAATTTCATCGATAATTTTGTAATCGATTTGGCAACTCCATTGAAAAACTTGATAACCTTTTGCGAAGAAGTGAACAAAAAAAAAACTAGAGTGTCAGAGAGTTCGCGTTTTTCCAGAGTTTTCGCAGAAAATTGAGCGTTTCACGAAGAGTATTTACCACGAGAAATCGCGCCTTATCGCCGTCAATGTCTCTTTTTCGTCTTCAATAATATTTTGATAATCTGCGAAATGTTTTCTTATTTTTTTTTTCTCCTGATAGCATTTGCTCCCAAGGCCTAAATTACAAATCCACAAAAATTATTGTAATTCAGTTACTTCATCCAATTAAATTCAATCGTCCACTTAACTTTAACGCACTTTAGGTAGTTTTTTTTTATATTATCTTAAAAAAAAATGTTCAAATTGCAATGAATCACTCTCGATAAGAAGTGTCGTAAGATAACTTGAAATTTAAATCAAATAGAGAATATTTAATTCAACGTTGATTTTATTATGAGTTTTATCTACATGCAATTAAAATTTAATTTAATCTAATTTATGTTTGAGCATTTAAATAAATTACGTTTATTTGGGATTAATTTTAAATCGCAAATAATTTGTATTCATAATGTTGAAGATCTAATTTGCGTGCTTGATTATTATCATTTATAATTACGAAACGCATTGTTATTAACATAGGAAACATTATTACTAGTTGGGTGCACTTCAATACACGATGTTAATTTACATTTTCGGTGAGCACGGATAATTAAATATGCTTTTGCACGGATTGACTGATCGACTCAAATATATTAGTTGTTGCAGCAAACTAAATGCAAATATTTCGTTTTAATTGCTTTTCAAATAAATAATTAAACAAAAAGCAAATAAATGTAAAAGTATCATTCGAATTATTTCTATTAAGAAAATAACGGAATCTCAGATTTGTGTTACTTAACAATGCAGTGTTACATGAACTGAATTGATTCAAATAGTAAAAGATAAATTCTGCATTCGGAATTGTTCGGATTTGTTAAACTGGCAGAAGAAAGATTATGACTATGTTTATAATTGTAATAATTAATCGCACATTGACATATTTAATAGCTTCCAAATTCATGATAATTTTTGACAATTAAAAAAATATATAAACTGACTTTAATTGTCAAAATCAATATGTCAACTGTCAATTATTAAAATCAGAATGACATCGAGCCATAATGTTCCCATTCGTTTAACTACTCCATTTGACAATCAATTGAACAATCGATGTTTTGCCTAAGGTCAGTTTGCCAATTGGAGATTTCTCTGCTATTATTGGTTATAATTCAAAATAGCCGATATTTCAATGACAAATGAAAATTGCATGTCAGTTGACATGTTAAAATTGAGAAAACGAATGCTGCTGTTCTAATTGATTCTGTTACTCGATTTTACAATCTATAAAACGAAAGATTTTTCTTAAGCTTATGTTGCCAATTGCAGACATCTTTCCTGTGCTATTATTGGTTGTAATTCAATATAACAGATATTTCAATGACAAATAAAAGTTGAATGTCAGTTGACACTAATTGTAAAAAATATATGTATGTGATGTGTTTCCATTAATTCAGATACTCTATTTGGTAATCAATGAAACAAACGATATTTTACTTAAATCTTTAAAGGGTCAGAAATTCCCAACCCAACAAATTTCTAGACAACTGAATCAGACAACTTTGTCAACGGAATCAACATCGGATGATATGGACTATCAAAACCAACCAAGTTAAAGGGTAATTCCTCTTTCATGGACATTTTCTAGTAAATTATAATAATTCCACATTGGGCATGTGGTACATTGCGTGTACCACCGCCCCTTAAAGAATTAAGGTCAGTTTGCCAATTGGAGACATTCCTTTTATAATATTATTGGTTACTATTCAAAATTGCCGATTTTTCAATGAGAAACAAAAGTTGAATGTTAGCTGACATTAATTGTCAAAATCTATATGTGACAGAGGAAATGCCAATGGAACAATTTTTACTTAAGATCAGATTGTCAGGATGTCTGGTCGATATTTAAATGTTAAATGAAAATAACCATTTTGAATTAAATTTTAGATTTTAATTACAGCAAAGTTTTGAATATGAATATATAGTTTCTGAAAAGATTTGAGCAAGTGTGTGCATCGGTACATTCTCTAATATTTGTATATGACAAGAGGATTGTTAATTATAATATGTTGGGTATTCGAAGGATACAAAACAATGGATAGACAGACGTGCAGCGAACTAATTTTGTAATTGGATCGGATACGAATACTTTCATCGGAAGTGCAGAGTTCCGAGTCGGAAGTTTCTACTGCTCCGGCAACTTATTAACGTTCGAAGAACTATCAAACTAAACTTGTGATTAAGCTCAAAACAAACCTTTGCTCGCATTCGCGTTGCCCCAACTAGTCTATGCATGTATGCACATTGCACATTATACAATTGAGAATCTATATAGCTGTTGTCGCCGTTTGAGCGATGGATCGGTGATGCTAGGAATGGGAGTTGGTCCTTCAATAATTCATGTGCTCGGGGGATGCAATAGCGGCGTTAATTAGAAGCGTTAATGATTTATTAGCCGTTTAGCGCACATTATCGCATCCAGGAGAAATCGTATTCTGAAGCGTTCCGTCGCTCAAACTGGTAACGATAAATCTGGTATCCATTGAAGTCTGGAAATTATTTTGTTTTGAATGTAAATGCGACGCAAAAATCATTGCCAATCAGCTGAGACGCGTTGGCATTCAATCATGGATCATGTAGCCTTCGCACTGTACTCTTACATCAAGTGATTCACGATTGCTTATAGCCTAGTTTCATCTTTTTAACCGCAAGGAGCAATTGGCGACCAACGTGGGGTTCTGCCAACACAATTATAAAATAATCACATTTTACGCAAACTACTTCACAATTTCTGTGCATTTAACCAACTCTACTCCAGAGGTTCGTTATCCAAGTATCATGTTTCCAGGTGATAAATGCATTAAAACTAGAACAAATCATAGCTCGTAACGCGAAGCACTGTCGCTGATTAAACCTCTATAATATTAATCCGACGATTAAAGCTACAAATAGCATCATTTATCTGCATAATAACGGCTCGCCTTTTCGCAGGCCGTCGCGAATTTTATTACAGAAAGCGCATACCTTTATAAAGTATAAATAGACCAGTTCGCTGTTCAGAACGACGCAAAATCAGAAGTTCTCGCAGCACGTTTTCCAATGAAACCATCGTCGTTCACAATTTAAAAAAAATAATAAAAGAATTTAATTACCACATAACTTTCTGTATATCAAATCAATCTTTTAATATTGCGAAACAATATGATGGATGCGCCGGGTTTCAAAACCATCATAAATTTTCTATTTAAAAAAAATAATAAAACAAGAGAAACGTCAAAACTTAAAAAAAATATATCTCAAATGTTAAGTTAATTGTTGTTAATTGTTATTTTTCATTTGATTATTGTTTTTAAATTTGTAATCAGTTAATGTGTTATTTAATGGTTATTAAATTGTTGGGAATATATCATTTGCGGAAATGGTTATTATTATTATTCATATTTTGTCGATCAATGATTCCATTCATAACAATTATAATAAATGTCAAAAGTCAAGAAAGCCGCACGATAATTTCATCGAAGGTTCGTTTACACTTGTAATCCATTTCGTGATGAATTTTCGAAATCATGATTTATACTTCAGGTAATTATTCAATAAATAATTAGAAATTGAATCTTAATTTGTAGTTGGTATACATTTTACATGCCATATTTGACAGTTGATGTAAAAATAATGTAAACAAAAGAAATTGCCAACTGTAATTTAAAATTCTAATAAATTATTACCGAAATCGAAAAATAAAAAGACATATTGCGTAAATGCGTGTACGTTTGATTGATATAAACCAAAATTGTATAGATGACAGTTGAAAGGAAAAAAGAAACTATGAAAACAAACAAAAAAACATGAGAAAATCTCTGTTCAGTCAAGGACGGCTCGATCTTGCTTTCTCTGCTTTGCGATTACAGCCACATCGGGCCGAATAATGTTGAAGCATATGCGAGATCCGAGTTCTAATTTTAAAATCTCGCGAAGATGGGTTAAGGTCGGATTCTTGCGCAATGAACGTCAACAGTTCGGGCCAGATACAATCCGTGATAGATTTGCCGAATGACCGTGAATTGTTTTCCCATTTTGTTTTGTTTCTTCTCTCACTTCTTCAGTGTTATGTGAACACAACACAATTGGGATCTAGAAGTATTACTAATAAAACAAAATGTTCCGTATTTCTACACTTCTTAGTAATAATAAAGATTAAATATAATTTGAAATAACCAATTTGAAATAATCTATATTAAATTTTACTTATATAAAATTACATAACTAATATTTTTAAAAGGCGACCATCAATGATTTTTTTTATATAAATAAACCGCAATTTGTATATTGTATAGTAGCAGTTTTTGTTTCAATTTATTAGATTGAAACAATATAAAAACTCGGCTTTTGTTTGCATATAAATTGAAGTCTTTCATTATTTTATATTAACAGTTTCGCATTGTATATTTTTGCGCAATTGTTTTGTAAATATTTTCGGAACGACGAACGCACATTGAAAGTTTCAAATTGAAATGATTCAATCTGTTGACTGCATTAATCAGCCATCCAGTTTAATTATCTGGAGGGTTGGAAAATTTTCGCTCGGCCAAAATTAAGAGGGAAAGGGCAAAAAAAAAGAGTGCGATGAAAACAGCCGTTGGCCGGTCGCCAGGCGTTCGATCGTTTAGGAGGAGAGGAAAGAGCGGGCTAATGAAAACGAATGTTTCTCATTAACACTTAAGAGTTTTTTTTCTTTCTTTTGTTGCTAGTTTTCGGAGGGCAGGAAGAGTAAATAGAAGCCAGCGATCACCTACAGGATGCGGCTGAAAGTCGCTTTCCTTTGGTTGGTCTCATCCATATCGTGGATTGGCGAGGCTCTGAGATGCGACAGAACTCCGGAGGGAACATTCTCACCGAGGACCAGGGCTGATGGAAGATTCGTTATTGAGGTTTCAGGGAATCCGGATACTTATGTTCCAGGAGAACAGTATAACAGTAAGTTGTTTTTTTTTGCATATGGCAATTGTTGAAAGTTAGTAACAATTATCATTCTTTTTTCTTACAAAGTTTTTGAAGCAGAAACGTTTGTCCCATTTAATCATTTGATGTCCCAGACGTCTAAAGTTTATTTTAGAATTTGCAATTAATTACGAGGTAAAAATAATAACTAGTAAAGTTTTAAATATGTTAAAATATGCAGCAATTAAAGTAGTCTTTAGTATTGGGTTGTCATGCCTAAATATATTAAATACAAATGATCTGTATCAGTTTTAGTACTTTAATTGAACTTTAGGAACATAATTCTCTAAATTTAGATCTGATGATGATGATGATGATAAACCGTTAAGACAGGGGTGTCATACTCGCGGCCCGTAATAATATATAATAAAATAACAAACCGACGAAGAATACAAATAAGATAGGTAGAATTCGCTAAACATTTTTTTAATTACACTCTTTTTTGCTGTTATTAAACAAAATGCGTACATTTATTTTGAATTAGGTATTTAAGCATAAATATTATCTAAAATATGTCAAAAGTTGGGTTACTGACTTTTTGACAGATGAAAAATGTTGAAATAAGATTTTCAAACAATTCTGAGATTTGAAAGAAGTAGTATATCAGTTTAAAAAACTAAAAATCAAGACACAAGCTATTTTTCCGATCCAATATGGTTGCAAGATTTATCTTTTATGGTTGATATAACCAAACACTTAACCGATTTAAATTTATCATTACAAGGAATAGATTACGAACATGTTTTATATAATTAAAGCATTCAAATGTAAGCTAGTTCTTTGGGAAAAGCAAATTAAAAATGAAGAATTAACGCACTTCCCGACGTGCAACATGAACAAATCAAATTTAGATGATAGATTTAGATTTAGATTCTTTGGAAGATTATTCAACAAATATATACTCAGTACGGCTGGGTATATGCAAATGGATGTGATCGAGATTCAGTGCGAATTCAATTTTGAAGGCAAAAGGTTTGAAAACAATCGAAAATTTGCTTATGAAATTATTTCCATGTTTGGACTTATCAGTGCGAGCAGTTATTTTCACTTATAAAAGGAAATAAGTCTCCTGTTAGAAACAGTATTAATGACGCTCACCTTGCCTCAGTTTTGAAAGTAATCACTGCGAACAATTTTTTTCCCGAAATAGGAAAGATAGTAGCAGAGAAGAGATATCGAGTGTCAGGGCATAAACATTACATTTTTCTTGTTCTTTTATATATGTTTATTATAATGTATTATTCGAAATATAGAAACGTAGGCTTTTCTATGAATATTGATTTTTTTTTAAATCTTGTTTGTTTGGCCCAAGTTATCCAAACGTAGTATTCACCAGATAATACACTTTCCGATCTCCACAATTTTGGGTCTTTGCAAAATTCCATTACCTGCAAGAACGATTAATTTTTAGTCGACATATAAAACTACCTGACGAAATGTTTTTGATGAAAAACCTAATAAATTTTGTGAGGGTGTAATGTTTAAGTTGCATAAAAGATGAAGAAAGGTTTATAGATCAAAAATAGTGCATACGTAATTAAAAATGTATATATCTAACATATATATATATATATATAAAGGTTTAGATTTTTAATCTTCCTGAAAAATCGGCACGAACTTTCCGGATAACCTAATATTTCTAGAATTATTTACTAATGAAACAGTTCAATACTAAAGGAATTGTACAAAATCTAAGTTCTTATTTTTCGTTACATAACTTATATTATATTTGTATGTCAAAAAGTTAAAACAGAAATATCGAATGTAGATGTACAACACACCTAACTCTCGTTTTACGCGGTACTTTCTTTGCACATTTCGCTCCATGTTAAAATAAAATAATAAACGTTGAAAGTAACCAATCCTATACTTTTTTTGCATACTTTTCTATTTACATGGTTTTACATTAAAAAAGTTACAATTACGATTCACACGTTTTTCTCAGAAACCTATCTAACTCGGGGAATATGTGTACTGCACTTAGAAGAAAATGTTTAAATTTTGAACGCATATCATTTTTCGTTTCGTTTACTGAATTCCTTGCGAATTAATAACTTAGGACGGCTTCGGAAGCAATTAATTCGGAGCCCCTCCGAAAATCCCACTTTAATTGTTCCGAAGTTTTCGGAATCATTTCCCACGGCTTATTCGGCAGTTTCTAGTGTTTTTATTTTTAATTATTTTTCCTCGTCGTCGTCCTTTCGTGAATCGGTAATTTATTTTCGCCACGTCGACAATAACAAGCAAATTGCTCGGATTCAATTCGCAATTAAAAATCCTTTCGCCTCGCGCCATTACATCCACTAATCCGACGATTTTCAAGTTTCGGAAGCTCCCGGCGGGTGCTTAAAATTTTGTTATTTTCTTTCGATTCGTCGCCCTCTTTCTGCTACATTAAATTGTTTCAAATTATCATTAAAATACTTAAATTATAAGTAATTTCTCAGTAACAATTATTGAAAAGTTTCATTTTTAATTAACAATCTACAATTTTGCTAAATCGACACTAATTTCAACTAATGTTGAACGTTTTTTGACAGATGACATTTAATTTGAAATATATACATTAACTAATTGCAATTGTGCAATGTGCTATTAGGGTTTTCGGTTTTTAAAACCCGGTTTCTGAAAAACGTTTTTTTTTTCATTAATTATTTGATTAGAAACAAACATTTCGATACATAATCGTTTTTAGTACACAGCAGGATAAACTTTTGCAGAAATGGGTTCAAAAATTACGCTTGTCTGGACTCGCTACTTTATATAGCTATCTATGTATGCCTATATTTATAGAGTTATCGCTTTGAGTAATATAATATAGTCGATGTCGCTTAATTGGGACACGATTAAGCGTCTGACCCAATTATCCGAAGTTCTATTGCCATTTGTTATTTGCTCGGTTTTGTTTCCGTTCTTTGGGATTTGTCCCTATTAAGCAGTTGTCCCAATTAATCGGGACACCGGAAAATCGGCTGTATTTGTTTCCTAATGCAAAAGAAGAAAGAAATCTAAGAAAATGTATATCGTAAAATATAAATATGCAAACTTAAGCATATCTTTATATAAAAACTAGGTTTTTGGAAATTAGGAACTTCTCCGTATGTGCGTGGTATTCCGTGGAACGCGCTGCTAACAACCAATACAACCACACAATACATATTCCCACTTCAACTTTATCAAAAAAAAGCATCTAATTCTTCATTATTTTTTCAGAAAAATATAATAATATTTTATAGTCATTTAGATAAATGATTCGTTTCTATGGAGAAAATTTTATTTTGTTATTGTAATGTAAGTTTTTAAGATTTGTTTTGTGAGAATTTTGATTTATTTTTCAATTTTGTATAAGGTTTAAACCGATTTTGAAATTTGAAAACCGGTTTATTAAAATGTCGGTTTTTGCATAAAACCTAATACCGATGTTAAAGAAATCTTTCTACAATTTGCGGAATCTCGTTAATGCGTTAAAGCAGTTAACATAACGCGATACATCATTAGTGTCATCAACACTTGTTTGCGTTTGTTATGTCAACGTCAGTGGCAGCTCGTAGCGAGTGAAGTGCGGTAATCCATCTTTCGCTTGAGGGTGGCGACGATGTTAACCCTAATCCAAACGCATCTGCATATCTGCCTTCTCCTCCTCTTCCTTCACCTCCTTTATACGTACAGATATATGTACATGTATTTGCTTTGGCATGTGCAAAAGATTATTTACGTCGCCAAGTAAGTAAGTAACTCTCGACATCAGCAAACGCACATATAGAAACGTGCACATCCATACATATTTATAGAAGGAACAGGAAGAGGATAAAAGTAAAACCGCGCAACCGGAGACGACTTTTGCACAACTTTTTGTACTTCTTCTTATTAAGTTAAGTTCGGCGAGGCGGGCAAGGCAAAGAGAATAAAAGGGAAAGAAACAAAAAGATGAAAAGAAACGAGCGATGAAATAATGAATGTGTGAAAAGAGAAGGGTTCGGAAAAGTCCGGCGAGAGGATTTATCGCTAGCCAGAATAATCCCCGCACCGTCCGCAACACGCTTATTCAAATCCTGTTGACTGGTTATACACATCCAGGTCACCATTATTTACAACTAACCGTTTTCTTCATTTGCCGTATATTGCATAAAGCACGAAACCACTGAAAATCAATAAAATCTTTATTGAAAAATATACTAAATTTAAAATTCATTTTTCAAGAAATTGAAAAAAGTTAAATAAATAAGTAAACTAATTGATTCAGAATATAAAGATAAAAAAAATACTTATAGATCTGGAATATACTTTGAAATGACTGGGAAAGTTGAAATGAGAATAAACGATCTCTTAAGTGATCATTTTAGAATATTAAAAAGAGATTCCACATTTGTTTTTCTTTATAATTTTCGACTAAGTTATTATTATATTGGTATTGCTGTAGTGCTCGATTAGCTTCTTATTAAAGTTAATTGGATCTGTTTCTTCCTAGTATATAAATATCATATTAAAAAGGATTGCATTTATGGAATATGCAGATACGCTTTCATTGCAGCTGCAAACAGACTGCGTTGTCGTTAAAATAATCGGGGCATTTGCAAATTTCAAAATTTCAATGAGGTGATTCCGTTGAAGCCGCTTAACGGCTATATTGATTTCGGTATGAACGAAGCGAAAAGTGCGGCCGAGGTCTGTGTGTGTGTGGGATGAGATATGGAAATGAAAGAAGCGAGAGAATAAGAAATGCACTGAAAATAATAGAGGAAGATAGCAAGAAAGTCTGAGATGGAATGAAAAAAAAGTTAAAAAAGGAAGGAAGAAAGAACAGAGATCGGTGGATGGGAAATAGTGGAAGATCATTAAATCTTATGACGGTATAATCCGAGGATACTTAAAGGTTGGCTTGGGGGAACCTATATATGCATGAGACCAGATAGTGTTGCGCTAATCTACTTCCCAATACACTTTTCGAAGAAGCCCATCGTCGATGGTCATAAAGA